GAGCCCCCAGACTTTTTAATTTATGAGACTCACTCTTGCCCTAGACTTTTTTTTTTTTTGAGACAGAGCCTCAAGCTGTCCCCCTGGGTAGAATGCTGTGGCATCACAGCTCACAGCAACCTCCAACTCCTGGGCTCAAGCGAGTCTCCTGCCTCTGCCTTCCAAGTAGCTGGGACCACAGGCGCCCACCACAATGCCCGGCTATTTTTTGGTTGCAGCCATCATTGCTGTTTAGCGGGCCGGGCTGGACTCGAACTTGCCACCTTGTGTGTACGTGGCTGGCACCTTACCCACCTGAGCCACAGGCGCTGAGCCCCTAGACTTTTTAATTTATGGGTCTTACTCTTCTCAGGTTGGTCACAAATTCCTGGACTCAAGCAATCCTCCTGCCTCAGCCTCCATAAGTGCTAAGATTACAGGGGTGAGCCACCACACTCTGCTGATCTGACCCATTTCTAAGGTGTTAATTTTTTGAGATTGTTTCACATTGCTGCTCTCAGTAGGGTGCTGTGGCATCGCATGTCACAGTAATCTCCAACTCTTGGACTCAAGCAATCCTCTTGCCTTAGCCTCCCAAGTGGCTGGAACTATAGGTGCCTGCCACTATGCCTGGCTACTTTTCCAAAGTGCTAGGATGATAGGAGTGAGCCACTGTGTGCAACCTAAGATATGTTTTAACTTTGTGGTTTTTCTTTTTTTTTTTGAGAGAGTCTCACTATATGGCCCTCAATAGAGTGCTGTGATATCACAGCTCACAGCAACCTTAAACTCTTGGGCTTAAGTGATTCTGTTGGCTCAGCCTCCCAAGCAGCTAGGACTATAAGGTGCCTGCCACAACACCTGGCTATTTTTTGGTTGTAGTTGTCATTGCTGTTTAGCAGGCCTGGGCCAGATTCGAACCCACCAGACCCAGTGTATGTGGCTGGTGCCCCAACAACTGAGCTACTGTCACTGAGACTGTATTTTTATTTTTTAGACAGAATCTCATTTTGTCGCTCTGGATATAGTGCTGTAGCGTCATAGCTCTCAGCAACCTCCAGCTCTTAGGCTTAGGTGATTATTTTGCCTCAGCCTCCAAAGTAGCTGGGAACCACCAGAACGCCTGGCTAATTTTTGTTGCAGTTTGGCTGGGGCCAGGTTTGAACCCACCAGCCTTGGTATATGGGGTGCCGCCCTACTCAAAAGCCACAAGCACCACCCCTGAGCCTATATTTTTAACTTTGTATGCTTTAGCTATTATCCTATCTGGAATACTATGAGGAACTACTGAGTTGATTTTCTGATTTGGATGTCTTATAGACTACTTATTAAAAAATGATCCAATCATCGGCTTGGTGCCTGTGGCTCAAGTGGCTAAGGTGCCAGCCACATACACCTGAGCTGGTGGATTCAAATCCAGCCCAGACCTGCCAGACAAGGACAGCTGTAACCAAAAAATAGTCTGGGTGTTATGGCGGGCACCTGTAGTTCCAGCTACCTGGGAGGCGGAGGCAGGATACTAACTTGAGCCCAGGAGTTGTAGGTTGCTGTGAGCTGTGATGCCACGGCACTCTACCCAGGGCAATAGCTTGAGGGTCTGTCTCAAAAAAAAAAAAAAAAAATCTAATCCTAAAAAAAAAAAAAACCCAAAAAACTATCAATGGGACTGATAGTTCAAGATAGATTATTTCTGGCTGGGCACAGTGTGGCTCAGACCTACAATCCTAGCTCTTTGGGAGGCGGAGGCAGGAGGATCCTTTGAGCTCATGAGTTCAAGACCGGCCTGACCAAGAGACTCCATCTCTACCAAAAATGGAAAAAACTAGGCAGGGTCATGGTGGGAGTCTGGAGTCCTAGCTACCCAAAAGGGTTGAGGCAGGAGGATTGGTTGAACCCAGGAGTTTGAGGTTGTTGTGAGCTAGGCTGATGACATGGCACTCTAGCCTGGGGCAACGGAGTAAGACACTGTCTTAAAAAAAAATTCCTATAATCCTAGCACTTGGGAGGCTTAGGTGAGTGGATTGCCTGAGTTCACAGACAGATTGGAGACCAGCCTGAGCCAGAGTGAGACTTCGTCTCTAAAAATAGCTGGGCGTTGTGGCAGGCACCTGTGGTCCCAGCTACTTGGGAGGCTGAGGCAAGAGAATCGCTTAAGCCCAAGAGTTGGAGGTTGTTGTAGGCTGTGACGACACAGCACTCTACCAAGGATGACATAGTAAGACTCTGTCTAAAGAAAAAAAATTAACAGCTGACTAAGAAAGGTCAAAGGCATCTTATCTGTTAGATGAAATTTGAATTTTTTCCTTGAACTCCAAGGCTATCATGGCTATTAGTGGGCATGGGTCTATAGTAAGTAACCAGTCTCCCACCCTCTATGGCAATGCTGGGTAGGTTCCCATGCCTTTGCATAGGCTGCAGGCTGCCAGATAGTGAAGGTCATCAATCTTCAGAAGCTTTAGTCATGTGTTAGGAAATAGAGAGAAAAGTATCTTTTTTTTCTGAAATTGTGGTCTATAGAACAAAGAAGACTATATACAAGTTTGATGAGTTTGTAGCTACTTAGAACATTATCCCAAGTGCAAATGCTTCAGAGTTTCCAAGCACTTTTGTTCAATGAAGGGAAATTACTATCTGGTATTTTGGAAGATAAGATTTATAATGACTAGTCCTTAAGAATAACTGTTTTATTACCATGATTTGTGAAAAGTAACAAGGAAGACAGTTCAAGGAAGGACATACACAATGCCCTGTTTTAGGTTCCAAATTTCTTCTTTTTGATGGGTGGTGGGAGCTGAGCAATGATGTCATCCAGGGGCCGTTCTACTGCCACCAGTGTTTTTTCATCCAAAAGATCCAAGAAGAGTAGAGGCTGTGGAGAGAGAATAATGATTGTCCTAAGAGTTAGGGTCCAGGGCTAGTCCTGAATTGATTAACTAGAGTTGAAAGGTTAGCCAAGTTCGTCTGAAGCTGAACTACTCATCAAAAAAGAAACAAAACAAAATGAACTCCTCAGCCAGGCTCAGTGCCTCATGCCTGTAATCCTAGCACTCTGGGAAGCCAATGCAGGTGGATTGTTTGAGTTCACAGGTTTGAGACCAGCCTGACCAAGAGCAAGACTAGCCAGGTGTTGTGGCAGGAGTCTGTAGTCCTGGCTACTTGGGAGGTTGAGATAAGAGAATCGCTTGAGCCCAGGAGTTGGGAGGTTGCTGTGAGCTGTGACACCATGGCACCCTACTGAGGCCGACAAAGTGAAAAAACAAAAACACAAACATAAACTCTCCCCAAACGAGGTTAGCCTAGTACAAGGCTTAAATGATCTAAATCTCTGATAATCTTTCCTGCACTAGGATTCAAAACAGCTGGAAAGATTGGATACATATATGCATGCATTCATTCACTTATTTATTTAGTGATAGGGTCTTGATATATTGCCCAGGTACAGTGGCTATTCACAGGTGCTGCTCTGATCAATGTACACTATGGCCTCAAACTCCTGAGCTCAAGAGATCATCTTGTTTCAGTCTCCTGAGTAGTTAGGACTACAGGTACACCTGGCTCAAGGTTGAGAGTTTTTAACTGAGTTAATTCATAAAAATTTTCAGCAAGGGGCGGTGCCTGTGGCTCAAAAGGGTAGGGCACTGGTCCCATATGCTGGAGGTGGCAGGTTCAAACCCAGCCCCGGCCAAAAAAAAACCTGCAAAAAAACAGAAAAAAGAAAAAAAAATTTTTTTCAGCAGGATTTTTTAAATCTTTTTTTTTTGCAATTTCTGGCCGGGGCTGGGTTTGAACCTGCCACCTCCAACAAATGGGGACAGCGCCCTACCCTTTTGAGCCACAGGTGCCACCCCATTTTTATCTTTTTCTAGACAGAAAATCTATGATTCTCTTATTATCTTAGGAAGTGATGTTAATCAAGGGCTTTAAGACCTAAAGTCTTGACAACTAGCAAGACACAAATGCATCAAGAAGCTAATTATACTTGAATAATTTATAGATTCTTCTTAAAAATATTCTCGTAGACCTCTGAGAAAATGGTCCAGAACCCAAAAGGAACTTCAATCTTAGAAGCATGACTTGTAACAAACTGGTCAACATATGGAGGTGGTCACCATAACGAATTAGACCTACTGTATCCATATATACATACGGTACATGTCCAGTCTATGAAAATACGGTCAACATAAGGAGGTGGTCAATGTAGGGAAGTGGCCAACGATGGAGGTTTTTTGTTGTATATACAATGAAATGTTCCAGGGATAAAGTCATAATAAATTCAATGACTTCTGTTTGCTAGAAATTTCTTATGGAACATTCTCCAACGAGAAGTCAAATTTTTTTTTTTTTTTTT